TGGGCTGGGCTGGGCTGGCCAGCGGTAGCCCCGCGGTAGCCCCCGGCCCCACGGAGTTGAGGGGTCTGGGCAGAGGGCCAGCGGTTCCGCCTCCTAATTTTTGGTCAACGGCAGCCGGGGCAGCCGCCTGCCGAACTCGGGTTGCTTCAAACGAACGGCGCTGCCTTTTGCCCTTGAGCGCTGCCCGCGCTGTGTGTCCCACCCACCCATGTTTTAGGAAATCACCCGCAATTTCTGGTAGGTAATTCCCTGAAGTGAAGAAATCCACGCAGGAGCGGATAAGATACACGCAGCTCAGTACAAACCCTTCCTCATTCAGCACTTAGGCACTCCCAAACTCCCCAGCAAGCTCCCTCAACACCCAACGGAGACCCACGGGATGCAGGACCCGGCCTCTGCCACCACCTTTTGTCTGGATGACACACGGGTATGGTACGGTCACCGTCACCCACAGATGGTACATGTATGAGGGGTGATGGTTTATCATTAAAGTTTGCTGCGCTGCAGGAACGCCGGATGACAAAGCACAGGAGCCTGGGGCAGCGGGCAGGGCAGGTCCACCAGCAACGTCCCAGCAGGGCTGTGTGGGCCCGGAGCCACCAGTACCTCCAGCTTTCACCCAGACCCGTTCTCCATATCCACGCTCCCTCTGCTTCCAGGCTTTTAAGTGGGGAAGCTCATGAAGCAGGACAAGGGTCTTGTGTTGACTTCAGCTAAATGGGTCTGCTGCATTTTGTGAAAAAAGGCGATTCTTCTGTTGCCGCACAGTCCTTGAATGCTGCTCGGGACACTCTCAGCTTCTCACGTACCAGCCTGCTCTGGGCAGCACGCGCCACGCGGCACCCCGATCCCACACAAAGCAAAACTAATGCAAAGGTGGTTGCTCAGCTCTGGGAAGGGTCAGCTGCAGTGCACACCAGGAGAAACCTGACCTTCCCAAAAGTCTTCTGGGGGTTTCCCACACTGAACCGCCTCACCCAGAGGTCAGACGGGCATCAGTGCATCAGGAGAAGCCACAGCAGCACCAGTTAGATCAGTTTTAACATGTAGAGTACACCCAGACTGTTACTGTGGCCGGGCAGCTGGAGTGCTGTTTCCCCAGAAGATATAATTACTTGCAAAATTAAGACATTCCCTTCACTGCTGCAGACCAGTCTCCTAGGCTCATTAGTTCCCCCAAAAGAGACAGTAAGGATGGGAGATGTTATCTGCAAGAACTGAGGCAGGACAAGTGACAGGAGCAGCTAGCAGGACCCGCAATTTTTTCTTCTTGGAGCTGACGATGTCACCAGCATGAGTCAGAGTGGGAGTGAGCGTACGCTATAAAATCATTTAAGAGCAGGTATGTCTATAAAGGCTGAAGAAAATGACAAAGTGGCAATAATTACAGATCTGAACAGAGGGACCACCGTTTAAAGCCGTGGCACAGGACAGATCAGGGCTTGATCAGCAGACAGTTAGATTTTGGTGTAACGCCTTTGCAGTGGTCGATCAAAAGAAGCCGAGAGACACTCTCGACTGAGCACAGTTCCGTATCGTCTCACTGTGAGAGCGAGAGAGGCTCCGAGAGCAGGAACGGCACTTGCTTCAGCCTCAACCAACCTCCTTGGTGCTTTTAGGCTGACTGGTATCAATTAGCCCGGCTACTGCCACCCGTCTCTTGAAGTGCTTTATTTCCAGGACGACACCTCCACCTCAACAGGCGTTCGCACCCCCAGTAGCACTTTTGCAGCACCGCCTGAGAGGAGCAGCGTTACCTGGAGCGTAGGCAGGTTGTCGCTCACTCATAGAGCCAGCAGAAGAGCTAACCCCGCGTCCACAAGTGTGCATTTAAAAGATTCCCTGAGGAAAAACCTTAAGATGTAACCAACAGACTTTTCTCATGTACGCTGTGTTCAACCACACAATGTGCAATGACTCATGGCCAAGTTAAACAGGTATTTATAGCTGCATTTCTTTCCAGTCCTGCAATGACAATATATTGTAAGTATGACCTCAACACAAGTGAAGAGCAGCAGTGTTCTCTACCACAAATCTGGGAGGGCGTGGGGGGGAAGTCTCTCTGCAAAGGAATGAGCAATTAAGTATTTGTACCATTTGGAAACCATGAATCAACTCACACGATCCAAGATTTGTGCGTTTAATAAAAGTAAGTGGTGATTTTACTACCACAAGTTTTTTTGCCACTAGTACGGCAAAGATAACAGACACAAACAACTGATAAAATTTTTTTTTATTATTCACTTTTGAATTCTTTTACACTTTCCTGATTATTTCGTGTAAGGTGAAACTAGAACTGTTTAAAAGACATACACAAATCTAGTACATCAATAACCAGGTATTTCTTTTTGCTATACTATTCTCACAACCACGTGTGTGCTAGGCAATATAACCGTCACAGAAGCAAACTTTAGGCAGAATACTGGTCAGTAAAAACAAAGCGAAAAGAGCTACCAGATATACAGACAGGCTCGGTTCCACATTCACTACTGCATTTATCAAGCGCCAAGTATTAACTGCACAATTTGTTCAGCTAGTAGAGGGGAGTTTTAAAATCAGTGCATGAAATTCTCTCCAGCAGACAGATGGACAGACGAACAGATGGATCCTATACCTAAGTGGAATGTGAAGGCAGGGGGATGATACCGCGAGACTGATAGGTGACTACTAATCTTTTCCACTGCATTATTCACGCAACTCTTATTAGGTTTTATTTAATGGGACATGTTTGAAACATAACTAGGTGAGGACGTTTGGAGCTCAAATATCACAAGTTACAAGCGTTGCAAATGTGTAGGCCTGCATTCCAGTACAATAAATGGGAAATGCTGAATATTTGAGCCAGATCCCGGTACTACCAAAAAAATGGCAGCCAAGAGCTGAAGACTGCAAGAGCACTGGCAGTTCTCAAACATCCAAGAAAGAAACCTGTCCTCGAGCAGGCTCAGGTCTCACCCACCATCCTGACATCACCCACAATCAAAGAAAGGATGACGCGTATGTGGGAGTCCCGAATTGCTTTAATGGAGTTGAAACAGGTGAGAGGGTCAAGGATGAACAGAGTCCAATGGGAGAAAAATTTCTAGAAAGCGAACTTAAAAGATGGCTCAGCGGGTTACTTAAGTCGTTTACAGGATAAATTCAAAATGGGAATACCATGGAGATTTCGATTCACCCAAGAGTAAAGTAATGCAAAAGTGGCAGATCACTTCATGGTACCATCCAAACTAATAAGGCCATTCAAAAAATTGAATCTTCTCCTATTGCAAGTCCATGGTAGCGAACCAAGAATTCTCACTACTGAAGAATATCTAAGGTATAATTAGGTACGTTATTGCTGTGGGAAGGGGCTTAGTCATGCACGTTGTATGAGCACGAAAGCACTTTTAGAAGTCAAATCCCAGTTACCTGCCAGTGTAAA